AAAACTAGGCTCAAAAACCATTAGACAAGCTGTAGGTGTTGTGGGCTGTGTCATTATGCCCCACAATGTCTTTCTACATTCAGCTCTTGTACAATCAAGAAAGGTGGACAGCAACAAAAAAGGACGTGTCAGAGAAGCGCTACGTTATTTTTCTATAGAAGCAACGGTTGCCCTTATTGTTTCCTTCATAATTAATTTATGTGTTACAACAGTTTTTGCAAAGGGATTCTATGGTACTAAGCAAGCGAATAGCATTGGTCTGGAGAATGCTGGCCAGTTTTTACAGGAGAAGTATGGAGGAAAAGGGATTCCTATTCTTTATATATGGGGGATTGGATTACTTGCAGCTGGACAGAGTAGCACGATAACCGGAACATATGCTGGTCAATTTATCATGGGAGGGTTTCTTAACCTTCGCTTGAAGAAGTCGATCAGGGCATTAATCACCAGAAGCTGTGCGATTGTGCCAGCTATTGTTGTTGCGCTCTTTTTTGACACTTCTGATGATGCATTGGACATCTTGAATGAGTGGCTGAATGTACTTCAATCGGTCCAGATACCGTTTGCCCTAATACCTCTTCTTACTCTAGTATCAAAGGAGCATGTGATGGGTGTTTTCAAAATTGGCAAGAAGACCCAGGTAAGTTCAAGTTTTGGACAATTCCCACGTTCTTGTGTTTGTATTTTGTTTTATATATATTTTCCTTATGTTGTGACTTGTGATGAATTATGTTTGAGAATTATCGTTCTTCTCCATTGTGTAGGATTGAATCATGTTTTTCGTCTATCTACATGATGGTCCTGCGAACAGCCTTAGCAATATATGAATATAGTAACTTTAAACGCAATGGTCTTGATAAACCTTTTTATTTCTCAAGTTCTAAGATTCCCCTTTCAATCTTAAGTTTCTGATCTGCTTGAGTCAACTTTTTGTTTGTGTTTCTTTTTCTTGTGGCGACTTGCAAGGCCTTGATAAGAGCTTCAAAATTCCATGTTCTGATATCCACTAGATGATAACTAATGCATACTAAGCACGCTCCAAATTATTTAGCAATGTATCAATATAATAACTTTAAACCCAATGGTATTGGAACAACCTTTTTATTTCTCGAGTTCGAAGATTCCCTTTTCAGTCTTAAGTTTCTGATCTACTTAAGTCAACTTTTTGCTTGTGTATTTGTTTTTTCTTGTGGGGACTTGCAAGGCCTTGACAAGAGCTTCAAAATTCCATGTTTGAAAAATCCACTAGATGATAACTCATGTATACTAAGCACGCTCCTAATTATGAAAGTCGTAAGACAGTTCCCTTTGGAGAAGGTACCCATGGAGCCTCTTACGTCCAATATGTAAATGTGTAAAATTTTGAGATAAGTTTGTTAGTCTTTGATTGATGTTTCAGATCCTTGGTGTATCTTTGGTTGATATTCCATGATTTCTGACATGGGAAACACTTTGAGACATCAGCTATACCTTCACAAATATAGGCTACAGAGTGCAATCTCTCTGTATGACAGTGGATTAAAAGTGGAGAGTGAGTCTATGCAGTATAGCTCATGGCTGTGGTCTTGGATTCGGTCATTTGTTTTCTCTTGAGCGAATATCACTTGCAATCTGGTGGTGATGATAGCTGATAATTACCATTACTGCAGTTGTATATATGGTATGCCACAATATGGTGCCTGACTTTTACCCATACTGCTGATTTTATCAAACATGCAAATTTCTACATATTGACAAAGTTTAACAAAACCAACTAGGACTTGACAATACAAGGTGGGTTGATCATATTTTACATGCTAAGTTAGTCGAGGTAGATTTTCTGATGAGTAACTAGCCGAATAGTCTTGGTTAACACAGAAGGTATTTGAGTCCAGACCCTCTCAATGGAAAATCTCTTTTGGTCATGTATATTGTTAGATCTGGCGGCCTTCACCATGATGTAGTACATCACATAAATGCCTAAAGACAAAAGTTCAAATATTCTAGAGATTTATTACCCATAAACCTAGGGCTCAAGAATCAGCAACTTTACTATCCAAACCAACAATGTAGCTTATACAAATCTTATTGATTTTATATTTCTTGATTCTGTTACTGTTAATATTTATATACCAACTAATTCTTCTGCTTTCTTGTGTTAGATTCTCATATAGCACTCATGTCTGTGGCAGGTTGTTACTTGGATCGTTGCTACCTTACTAATTATCATCAATGCCTACCTTCTATTGGATTTCTTCTCTGCTGAAGTCCGAGGAATATTTTTTGGTCTTATAGCTTGTTTCTTCGTAGTTATATACATAATGTTCATTCTATATCTCATACTCCGTGACCAAGAACTCCCAAATCAAATTGTGACAGCTATATATAAGAGTTTTTCATGAGAACCAGAAAACACATACCTCAGTTTTTTTCCTGCATTTACCAAGAATTTGAAGGAATACTGTACAGTACAAAACTGTAAACAAGCTGAAGCTAGCTACTTCAATGTTCTTTAACACTGAAGGACATGGTGTTTATAGCAAAGTTACTAGGAGATGCTGGTCCTTCTCTTTTGTGGATTAATGTCAATGGGGGATGTTGGAATAATGTTGTACTATTATGGCAATAAAATTTGAAATGTCCATAGCATGTAATTTAAATTACCAATTTTCTGTGTAGTACACAGCATTCTTTGAACATGTTAATTTGATGAGAAATTCAAACGTCTTTCCATTTTTTACTCGTTTTTATTTGGGATGTATATGATACAATCGCCCTTAATACATCAAGCTTTTGAAATGCATGACTCTGGTGTGATCTGGGTGCAAACTGATTCTAAAATTTTCCAAATGTACCTCCACCTCCCATCTCCATTCCTGCAGTAACTGCATCGCCATGTGAATGTCCCATCCAGAGGATGAACCCATCATCGTCCTCTTTGGATTCACTGGCAGCATCGTTAAGAGTTCCTCTCCGATGGCGACCTCCCTTACCGCTCCATCAAGATGCCCGCCAGCTGCGGTCACCTGGTAAAAATCTCACCTTGGAGGACTGGCAGTTCATCGTCTAGGAGCTAAAGCTGGAGAGCTTCGATAGCGTGGACATTGCCTTGAGGAGCGGCGGTGGGTCCGTCTGCAGGGAGATGGGTTCCATCACGTCGTTGGTAACACCTCGGCGTTTCTGTTTAATTTGGGGAAGGGGCTGCTGATCGGAAACCCTAACTGCTCAATGATTATTTGCTTCATGGAGGCCACTCCTCTGCATTGGCAGATGAAGGTAATGACTTTTGTCCAGGAAAGATTTTATTTGGGTGTTACTTCTGTCTTGCTTAGCTTTAAGTGTGAAAAGCCAACCTTTTTTTAATCCAATGAGATTTAACGAGCTGGAGGTCTAACTTTGTGTTGACAGTTGACATTTCCCCTAGAATTTGCTTAAAGTTCTTTTTTTCTAATTTGGCTACTTAAAAAATATTCCCATATTGACAAGCTGTCGAAATGCAAACTCATTTTGATAAATTTAAGTTTGTTCTGGTGACAATATGATTATAATATTGTGACATTACCTTGATCCACAATGAGTGATTTCCAGAGAACTCTGAGGTAATTCTTAAATGTTTTCAGCAAATACATAGTTCACCGTTCAGTTAGTTATAATGAAGTGAAGTATTTCTTTGTTCATCAAGCAAATGCATATTGCATAGTTCATTGCTTTTCCCCTTATTTCACTGCATGATTCCTTTTACATGTTACTAATTTACTAGTACGTCCAATTCACATAGAAGAAGATCTTTATAGAAATTCATAGTGAAGTATGATTGCATCTTTAGAAAATTACATAATGTTCTCACTTTTAAAAGTATCATATTTCTTTAACTAATTTAACTTTTACTTATCTATGATAGAAACATAGGAAGATATAAAATTAGTTACGACCTAAATCTAAGTACCAAATGATTTATCTAAGAGAACGAAAATTAAGAAGCAAAGCATTCAATTCCTCTAAAAAAGAACACCCTAGGAAGTTAAGTATGAAAGGGAGATGAAAAGTAAGAAGTTGTAATAAATAAGTTCAAGTGTTTATACAAAAAACAAATTTGCAATAGAAGGAATGATACATTTTGTTAGGTGTTAATCTCATCCTCTTAGAGTTTCTTATAGTAACTAATGAAAGATTCTATTTCTGGCAAAAATGAGATAAAAATCTCTTCAACATATTCAAATCATTGGTTAATATTTATTTAGTTTATATTGGAAACTAGTTTTGACTCAACTCTCTTTTTCCTATGTGAAGGTTGTAACAATGGTTGCTAGCACTGCAGCAATGGAAGAGCTTGAACTGTAGACTTGAGGGGTTCCGTTTATATGCCATCTTTATTCTTTACTATCCAAACTGTAGTTCACCTTATCAAATTAATATTTTCCCTTCAAATTAATATTTTCCCTTCATTAGGTATTGAATGGCAAGGAACCCAGCTTGTAAAAATCTATAAACAATGGGTACTATCTTTGCGACTATGTTCTTTAAGAAAAGTGTTGTGCATAAAGTGATCTTATGTTGCTAATAATTGCAGTATGCAGGTAAGTTATTCTCTCATAATGCACCAGTTACGTCAAGTGGAGGAGGAAATGAAATTAGTGAGGGGACCAGAAAATTTTGGGTAACTGCTTCTGGATATAGTTATGATTTCTGATAATTGTTTTTCTTGTTTTTATTTTTTCTTATCCACCTTCTCGTGCAGTCATTCCGATCTCTGTTTTTACCTTTGATTTAAAATGACAATGACATCAGAGTGACTGACTGACTGCTAATTGCATAAGGGTTCCTATGATGAAGGCACTAATCTGCAATTCGAGAAGCTACTTGATGAGATAAGGTTGAAATGAATGAATTATGTTAGTAAACTGACTCTGCTGGTTTCAGATGAAATGTCTATACTGATCATTTCATTCAGTTATCTATTCATAATGTGTTAAGATTTTAGAAGTTCCACACTTATTCTTATATCGTCAAAATTTTCAGAACATTATGAGGTCATACGTAATTATATGTACTTCACACATCTACATATGTTATATATTATTTCTAGATAAATAAATTCACAAAAAGACTTATAATGTTCCTGCTTTGCCTAACTAACTTTTTTTTATTGCATGCAGTAGTGGATAACTAATTCTTTTGGCACATCCTCTGCATGTTTGAATTGAAGAGGCCGATTTTTCTTCGTGTGTCTTTTGTTAAGACGCCGTTTTTTCTTCCTGTTTCTTTTGTTGAGACATAAGTTTTCCCCACACTTTAATAGGCGAACCTTCATTTACTAGTCTTTTTTAAATCCTTTTTTAAGGATTAGTAGGATTGAATCCCACTTCTTTTGTGTTTTGGCGACTCTAGTAGTCAACCCCTAAAGTGGATCTCCAATGGCAATTATATGTTGGCTCCATTGAAATTTTATTTAATTCCATTTTAGTTGGATTAGTGATTCCTTTTAAGGACTGGTTATGATTTACTGTGTGGAAATTAGGCTTAGCATTATCCTGTAACACCATGTTGGATTTCAATTATAGTAGTATAACTTGCAAGGAAAATCCTTAAGGAAGCTGCTGGGGTCATTTGATGATAGGGCATCTAATCTCTTCCCAATGGCATTGGAGGTCTCCAGCTTCCTTTGCAGGGAAACGAAGTTAGAATATTATAGAGAGCTGCTTTTTGCATCCAAATTTCATGTGACGAGGTGACACGTGCCATTTTATTGGGATTCCAATCAAGATCAGTGACTGATACATCACCTGTCCCATAATTGTCCATGATTCTAGGTATAAAATTATCTCTTTATCGCAATTATATATCCTGAACGGTTCAAGGACGGCTGAACTTGACTAACTTGTCTTTTATAACTGCAGGTATCAAACACAGATGACGTTGCAGTGGGCCGGATCCTTCAGGATTTATCCCAATAGGACCCTTCAGGATTTATCCCAATAGGACGACCAGGGGTAAGATATCCCGATACCGCTATTAGCTTTATTATCTTACCTCTTCATATTGAGTTTCCTGGCTTGGGGAAAGTTTGTGCCCGTTTCTTGGTTGCATGAACTTAAATTCCATGGCCAAGAAGGTTGATTATTTTACCCACCAATTATCCATCAAAGTTCTGTTGCATGACCCTCTCTAGCTTATAATCAATTATTTTAGGAATTCCCCTCTGGTTAAAGAGTTTTTATTTTGCATCTTGTTGGCATCCATCTTTTAAAATTTATTCTATTCTTTTGACATGGACAACCTATGAAGCTGAAAATGATAATGAGGTTATTAATGGAAAACAGGAGAATGTAGGATAAGAATATCTGCTTAAAATTCACATATTCCTTTTTCTGTCTAAAAGCAATGGAGACTGAAACATTATAAGGTGTTCTGGAAAATGTTTACGTCCCAGATTTTTTTGGAAAATTCCCCTTCCTACCCTTTCTCCGTTTAGTTTAGGTCACTGAAATCAGTAATTCGTTTCCATAACCCCTTTATACCTCCACAATCTTTGACCATGTTATTTATTACAAACTAACTACCTTCTTATTATAGAATTTTAACGTAAACTACATAAGTTTTCAAGCAAAGAAATTCTACAAAGGGATTATAGCCTAAATGATTAGTTTCAGGTAAAAATAAATGGCAAAAATATAAGGGGAAAATAATTTCTGGATATTTCTCGCAAGTTTTATGCGGTTACGTTCAAACAATTCCAACAAAGTGATTAAAGGGGTGAATCATTAATTCCAAGAGTCTAAAAGAAACAAAGAAAATAATTTCTGGGAATCCCAGGGGTCTAAATACAAATTTCTCAAGCTTTTCAGCATGACAAAATATATTTCCTAGCTTTTGGATATATTTCACTGAACTTTGCTCTCTTATGCAACTTCCATATCTTCCACGTATGTTTGTTTCCAAATCTGTCGACAAATAGGGTCGCATGAAGTCATTACTCCTTTTTTCCCGACCAAAATGAAATTATTATGCACTGAAAAATGTTTAGGTCAAGAAAAGGGTTATTTCGTATCTGGTGAAGTTTTCGTGTGATTGAAGATATGGATGCCATATGTCAAGAAACATTAGAGGGAGATTTATGTGAAAATGACCCAAAACACAAGAGATGCTCTCTGATGTAACTTACCTTTAATTTCGGAAATAAAGTTTATTGTGAATCAGAAAACCGGCAACCTCCTTTTGTAGAAATATATAATCACTTTTTTATCCTTACAGAAGCTTAATAGTAATACTTTGTTATAGGTTGGACATAGGTCTGTGGAGATCATACATGCAAAAGAGCAGCACCAAATGGAGTACAGATTGCAGAGAAATTGCTGTAGTCTATAAGGACAATTCTGTAAGCTATGATACTGTTCTTTATAGTGGCATCTGATATTCTATAGAGAAGGATAAGAGGATATGGCTTTCGATTAAATTTGTTATGTCTATTTCTTGAGGCAATTTTTAGTGTTGTCCTATTGTTTCCGTCAATTGCTAGGACTTGCCAATTACACATTAACGTATGGTGGTTTTTGATGTATTGGTGATTTGAGCATCACCTATTGGTTCTGTCAATTGTTAGGAATTTTGTGCTAAGTACATATTAATGAATAAGATATTTGTACCAATTGCATATTAATGTATTTTCTGGTCGTGGTAGTCTATTTATCTGAAATTATGTAACATCACTTCTGCGCTTTTTACCTTGACTTTTTTGTTTATGTTGCACAGATGGAGAGTGGACTAAAATGATTTCTTGTCCAACTAAGTTAATTGTGTCTGAACAAATGTTTGACTCATAAATTTGTTTAGTTTGGACGTGGGAACTGATCCTACACATTGCAAATTTTTGCTTTAGTTGGAGACTTGCATTCTAGTATTAATAACACTTTGTCTAATGGATTTTACCTTTCCATTAGCATCGAACCTGTCGTTATCCACTTTTAGAACTCATGACATTACATGTGAGATCCTACTACAATTGTCCTCTACCATTGACTAGGGATTTTTTTTGGGAAAAATCTCTTTTAACCTGAACTTATTTAGAAACCCACTCATTTTTCCAAACACCAATAGACCAATTGTATCTTATTCCACTTATTTTAAAACCCAACATGTATAATACACCTATTTTTTGCACTGTATTTACCCAATAAATTAAAAATTCCTAAACTACCATTCATCTCCAAATATAACCTATCTCCCCTCCTCTCTCTCTCTCTCTCTCTCTCTCTCTCTCTCTCTCTCTTCCGTTTCACTTTCTCAAAGAGATCAGTAGAGATTAGGGTTCCGGCGAGGAGATCTCTGGTTAAGGATCACCGACGGTGAAGGGAGTTGGGATTGACGATGAGCGACGACGGGCGACGGCTGTACGGATCTGAAAGCGGAGGACATTTGGGGGAATTTTGGTGGGCTTTGAAGAGGTAGAGCACATCAAATTCTTAGCAAATCAAGCGGGTAACACACGAATCTTGAGCTAGAATTTTGGAGCTCTCATAATCCCTTCTAATTTGGTCAAAATTTCTAGTAATTTATCGATATCTCATTCTATTCTTCTATCTACTCGTCGACATCCAGCAGTTTATTGCAGTTATTTCTGATTTATATCAGATTCACGATTAGGGTTTTTGTGATCTCGAATATGTGGGAAATGTCGATTTAGGTCTTTCTAAGGGGTTTTAGGTTCGCGATTGATCATGATGATCTGTTATTCTTCCATTATATTCTAAGATCTCATTTTTCTTTAAGACGACGAGAAATGGGGATTTAGGGGTTTTAGGAACCTGCCGCTGGGATATTCATAATTATATTGTATTTTTAAAAATATTTGTCAATAGGTTGTCAGAGATGTCAAGCAGAAGTAAATAGAGGGGTTCTTCCCAATCGAAGAATAAGGCTACTAAGTAAGTAAATTTTAATTTATCTGAAATTATTGTTATCTCATGAATTTTAATAATTTCTTATGTTTTTACTTGTAAGTAATGAAATTGAATCTGAAGATTTGGATCCCTAGATACGTTTGTAAGTTTTAGATCGATAAAAAGATTAGTTTCTAAACATATCTTCCCAGTAATAAATAATTGGGATGAAGAGTTAATGCTTTTGCCAAAATAGCCAGAACAAGAGTCATGTACTCAAAGAGGAACAATATGCATTTACATTCTTAAGTCCACAATGTAATATATATGCCATAGTTAATGCTCAGTTCTAAACATTAAGATCACATCATGTCACCTTGCTTTATTACTTTGCTTTACGATCTTTTAAATTTTACATTTATAAGGGCCATTTGTTTTGATTGAAAATTTTTTTGTAGGAAAAATATTGCAGAGTTAAGATTGCCTTCAAATATTGGGGTATTTCGTGATTTGGTGAATAATCGTTTGAGGCCTTTGCTAAATGATAATCATTATGAAGCCCTCTGTCAAACCTCTTTTTTCCTCTTAACAACTGAGTTAAAATCCTAAGGATTATAATGAATAGAATAGTCCTTCAACAATGTCTCACATATATTGCCATCATCCACAACTGAGATAGCTACATTCACTTCAACAATAAATTAAATATTTACGCTGAACAATAAACATATGGATTTCCTGATAAGCCATAAAATAAAAGGGAAAAATCTCTTTTAACCCAAAGTTTTACATAAACTTATTTAGAAACTCACTCGCTTTTCCAAACACCAATAGACCCATTGTATTTCATCCCACGTATTTTAAAACCCAACATGTATAATACACCCATTTTTTGTATTGTATTTACCCAATAAATTAAAAATTCCTAAACTACTCTTCATCCCCAAATATAACTCATCTCCCCCTCTCTCTCTCTCTTCCGTTTCACTTTCTCAAAGAGATCAGTAGAGATTAGGGTTCCGGCGAGGAGATCTCTGGTTAAGGATCACCGACGGTGAAGGGAGTTGGGATTGACGATGAGCGACGACGGGCGACGGCTGTACGGATCTGAAAGCGGAGGACATTTGGGGGAATTTTGGTGGGCTTTGAAGAGGTAGAGCACATCAAATTCTTAGCAAATCAAGCGGGTAACACACGAATCTTGAGCTAGAATTTTGGAGCTCTCATAATCCCTTCTAATTTGGTCAAAATTTCTAGTAATTTATCGATATCTCATTCTATTCTTCTATCTACTCGTCGACATCCAGCAGTTTATTGCAGTTATTTCTGATTTATATCAGATTCACGATTAGGGTTTTTGTGATCTCGAATATGTGGGAAATGTCGATTTAGGTCTTTCTAAGGGGTTTTAGGTTCGCGATTGATCATGATGATCTGTTATTCTTCCATTATATTCTAAGATCTCATTTTTCTTTAAGACGACGAGAAATGGGGATTTAGGGGTTTTAGGAACCTGCCGCTGGGATATTCATAATTATATTGTATTTTTAAAAATATTTGTCAATAGGTTGTCAGAGATGTCAAGCAGAAGTAAATAGAGGGGTTCTTCCCAATCGAAGAATAAGGCTACTAAGTAAGTAAATTTTAAATTATCTGAAATTATTGTTATCTCATGAATTTTAATAATTTCTTATGTTTTTACTTGTAAGTAATGAAATTGAATCTGAAGATTTGGATCCCTAGATACGTTTGTAAGTTTTAGATCGATAAAAAGATTAGTTTCTAAACATATCTTCCCAGTAATAAATAATTGGGATGAAGAGTTAATGCTTTTGCCAAAATAGCCAGAACAAGAGTCATGTACTCAAAGAGGAACAATATGCATTTACATTCTTAAGTCCACAATGTAATATATATGCCATAGTTAATGCTCAGTTCTAAACATTAAGATCACATCATGTCACCTTGCTTTATTACTTTGCTTTACGATCTTTTAAATTTTACATTTATAAGGGCCATTTGTTTTGATTGAAAATTTTTTTGTAGGAAAAATATTGCAGAGTTAAGATTGCCTTCAAATATTGGGGTATTTCGTGATTTGGTGAATAATCGTTTGAGGCCTTTGCTAAATGATAATCATTATGAAGCCCTCTGTCAAACCTCTTTTTTCCACTTCATTGATCTACATGCTATACTTAATGAACAAGTTGCAGTCGATTGCTTGCTTCATGCATTTAATCCAGAGCATAGCTCATTCAGGATATGGGGAAAAGATATTGTGTTTAGTGTTCTTGATGTGCATGAAATAACTGGATTACCGAAGACTGGAAATAGGGTTGTAATGGATGATCGGGCGCCTAATACTATATATACTAAGCATGTGTATTGTAAAAAGACCCAAACAAAGAAGGAGGAGGAGAAGGCCGGTAAGAGAAAGAAGAGGAAAGTTGAGAAGAAGGATGAAAATAAAGATAAGAAAGTGTGGGGCACACGCAAAAGGATGGCTAATTTGATTGTGGAGTTGGCAGACTCCAACCATATAGCATGTGTGAAATTACTTGTGGCTTTTATTGTTGGATTTGTATTATGCCCTCAGCCCGCTAACTCATGTCCATTATGTGCATTTAGATATGCGGACAATTTAGTTGCTCTTTGTGCTTATAATTGGGCTGGTGCTGTGTATGATCTATTACATAAGGAGATGACGAAGGCAAAGTTGTCCATTTCAAAGAGGAGCCGCAGGAGAGGGCACGAGCCGGATACATGGGCGGGTTTGCATTAGTATTGATGATGAGTTTCAATAAAATTACATAATTTTTTACATATTGATGGTTGTAACTAAATTTGTTTTTTTAGGTTTGGTTTTATAAACTAGTGGGGGAGCTCAAGTGTGAAATAAAAGAGGAAACCTTACGACCTATTTTTATTGAGTGGAATTCTCGATCTTTCTGGCGAAAAGCGATGATGAGGTTAATTGAAAAACCAAAGTGTATTAGGAATTTCACTAGTCAAACCACTATATCATCCATTCCTGGTGCATCACGTCATCAACCGGTATATACACTTTATTTTTCTATTGTTGTCTTGTTACTATCAATTTATTATATCTTTCTCGAATGCTAACCCATCCATTGTGTTGTATTTGTAGGCAATGACATTACTTCAAGTACGTGAATTGCTTGCAAAAATTAGAGAGGAGTATGATGAGCTCATTGAGTTAGAGAAAAATTTGAGTAGTGGTGGTAATTGCGGCAATGAATCCGAAGATGAAAGTGAAGAGGAAGATGAAAGTGAAGAGCAAGATGGAGAGGACGATTAGGATGGTGATGATACAAATGATGGGGAGGATGATAATGGCGATGATACAAATGTCGGGGGGAATGACGCTAAGGATGATGAGGGTAATATAATGAACAAGGAGTACAAAGTTAGGAAGAGAATACTAAAGATAAAGAAAAGTGTGGGAAATATAGTTGTGGATCTAAATCCAAGAGGAAGGAAAAACAAGGTGAGATGATTGCGGAAGAGCTAGTTGAAGATAATGACTTCTTTGCTATATCTTTTTCAAGGACATCATCAAGGGGCATCAAAGATAGGACCCCATCAATTAAATGGGTCGTTAGAGATAAGAAACATTTACCCCGCACGTGCGAGATGTTCACCTTATACGTAGTTGCAAGGTCGTAATGAGAAGAATGACATAATTAATGTTTCTCAATTGCAAACGTCAAACATGAGTATGGGTTGTGATGAAAAGAATGAAGTGATTAATGTTTCCTAATTGCAAACACCG